TATCTATCTATCTATCTATCAAATTGATATAGCCACCCATCTCATGAGCATCACTCTGGGCAGAATATAGTAAAACTGCTTTCAATGGGTTAGCTGAGCTCAGGATTTAGGAGGCACAACTTAACTTGGAGAGCATGCTATGGGTCACACTAAACCAAAGGGCAGGGTCAGGACCAAAGCTCACTTCAAATTAAATGAATAAATTAAATAGCATCATTATGACAGCCCCCCATGTATAGAATAATGTTCTCTTCCTACATAAAACAGGACAACTCAGTGGACCTAAGGTTTGATAGGTAGCCTGCAGCCTTAGGACCTCTAATTCTACAGCTCTTCTTTTCTGGATTCCAACATTCAGCCCATCCTCATGCTTCCTTCCAGCATTTCCAAATCTGTATCTCTCCACGTAAGTTGGGATTGACCATTTGGAGGGTAGCTGGTTTATTTCAGGAGCAAGCAACCTTTGAGGGGCTATGTACCTCAATTCAACTTTCAGGTGAAGCAGTGATATCACTAGAAAAACAGTGATAGTGTTTTTTGGCCTTTGGGGTAGGTTAATGGGAGCAGGAAGACTCTTGGAGGTAAACTGCTCCCATTTCCATATGAATCTTCCCAAATTCAGCATAATGGTTGGATTTCTCTGGTGCAGTTTTGGACCTGGGAGGGATTGGGCATTTTAAAAATGGAAATAATGGCTGCTTGCTTCCAAGAAACAGCCTGCTCCCATTTCCACTCTTTTTGGCCATACCAACAAAAATCATGTTGCTGAAAATTGGCCATTTTGCCACTGAATTTCAGTGTCATAATCTTGGATGTTGAGTAGCCACAAATGGGGTTTTGGAAGATATTTGTGGCCTACAGGACACCCACTCCTGTTTGTCCTGTATGCTATTAATCAGATGAATACAATTTCTATCCTTGACACCTGCAATGATGGACTTGCTTGTGCTACTGAATCCCATCTCTTGCAGCTCGTTTTAAGCCAGCACGTGGAATGGCATTTACAGATCATGAGGAGATGATTAGTAAGATTTTTTATGAGGGCAGCCTTTTGTTTTTATTTCATTTTCCTTTAAGCCAGTGTGACTTGATGCAGGTATTCTTAGTCGTTGGCTGAATTTCATCTGGCTTGTTTAGCCATGTCTAATCTGAGGACTTAAGGGAAAAGGCTATTTTTAAACAGGTTTTCTGGTTACAGTATTTTTAAGTTATACGTTGCGGCTTTTGATTTTCAGTGGGCCTGTATTGTTGTTCTCATATACCAGCACCTGGTATCTTTTAAATAAGAATTGTATGTTGTTAAAAGGAAGAACATTTCTCCCTATTTTAATATCCTCCCTTAGGTTTTTGGATTATCCATCTTCTACCTCATGTCAGTAAGACAAATGCTGGTTCTCTGGCTGAAGCGGTTCCTGCCAGCTTCCCCCACACTCTGGAGAACATGCATTTATTTTTGAACACAGGCTCTCATCTCATCTCATGACATAGAAACAGGTCTACCAAGCCTTTGATCCAGTCCCACCTTATGGAGCTGTCTGACAGTGAGGAATATCCGTGAATCAGTCAAGTTGTAGCTTGTTTTATATGTGATCCGAATGGGAAGAGATCAACTATATTGCTATGGAGAGCAGTAAAAAGAATGGCTTTCATGTTTCTTGAGCAATCTTAAGTAGCTAACTCTTCGTGCCTCTTAAAGACATACAAATGCCGAGGCATGCATTCAGAATTCATCGGGGTCATCCAACTTGTATTGTGTTTAGATGGATTGTGTTTAGTTCTCCTGCAGTCTTGTTTTTATTTATCTTATTCATCTTATTTTTATTTATTTTTTAAGTGTTTTAATAGTTGTGGTATTGTTCTAACTATTGGTTATACGCCGCCTAGAGTCATGTTTAGTGAGATGGGCGGCCATATAAATGTGTCTAATAAAATAAATAAATAAATAAATAAATAAATAAATAAATAAATAAGGTACTGATATATATATGTCTGTACCAGGTCTTGGTTTTTTCCCTAATCAAGTTCACTTTTAAATTGAGTCACCACAGTTTGGGGACCAAATAGTTTATTTTTGGAATTTTGTTTTCTTTTGTTTTGTTTTGCTATCTTTACCAAAAATCAGGAAAGATAGGAATGTTTTAACCTTTTTCAAGGCAAAACATCTATGTTACCCATTAACACCTCCCTTCCCCTACCCTGGATGATCCTAGATGCTATTGCCTCTACTGCCCTATAAGGTCATCACATCACCAGACATATTCTCAGAGCCTGGGAAAAAAAGAATTAAAGTAAATTGTCTTCACTGTTTTTTAAAAAATCAAATAAATAAATATCCCTGATTTAGAATATTTCTAGCATTTCTATTCTCATTTTTCAAATAATTGTTTCAGGTGAAATTTTGTCCTTTATGTTCACAGTAACTTATTATTTGGGCTAGGCTAAAAAGAAAGCTTCTTCCTTTTTGTATCTTTCAAAATGAATACGCAGAAATAAAGAATGGATTCCCTCTTACCTTCCTCTTTAAGCTGGATAACATAAAGCCATGTCACACCCCCCCCCCAAAAAAACAATTGTTAAGTTCACATGTTGCCCTAAGCCATAATGGAGTTGGCTGGTTTGGGGATTAACATATTGTATGAACCAGGGCCAGTTTAAGGAAATTGCAAGGCCCAGTGCCATACCAGGTTTCAAGGACCAT